GACCCGGGAGCCGTGTCCGACGGGGCGGGGGGAATCGGGCCCGGTCCGTCGGCATCTTCCCGCCCCTCCAGAGGGGAGCCTTGTCCGGAACGTGTTTTTCTTCACCTAACAGCAGGCTCATCACCACCACTGAAAAGTTAATAATATTTAACAGGTGCCTGTCCAACAATAATAATAATAAAAAAGAAGTAGCAGTGATGCCATAGCCTTTACCTATAATTACCCAATGTCATTAAAGGCAGCAAATTATTAAATGGATGTCATGGAGTTCTGCTACATGATTGTCTCCATACTTGTGAAAATTGATGCTGTCATCCCAGTGACTCAGCCCGGTGGGTCCTTGCGGGCATCACCGGGGCAGGTCCACCGAAACCACACCGGGCTGGGCTTCAGCCCCACACCCGGCATGTAGTGTGGCTTCGACATGCGTGACTAGCAGTGATGGCAGGTTTCACCAGGGAAAAGCCCAGTCCCACAACGGACTGGATGATTCCACCAAAAAGTGACACAAAAACTACAAAAATAAATCAAACCACAACTTCTCTTACATGGAGGATTGGCCTAGAATAGCCAAAATCCTAAGCTGGGTCTACTTGTGGTGAGAGACCTGGGCTGGGAAATCAGTCCTGGAAGTCTGACAGGTCCTCAGACTCAGTTTCCAGCTGGGAAAAGGGAAGTGCCACCATTTCCTGCAGACAGCTGGGTCCTGCTGCAGTAGCAGAATAACTGGGCAGGAGGGGTTTTGTGCATTTGCTTTTAATTGCTAATCATAGAATCATAAAGTCATAGAATGGTTTAAGTTGGAAGGGCCCTTGAACATCATCTAGTTCCACCCCCCCTGCCATGGGCAGGGACACCTCCCACTAGACCAGGTTGCTCAAAGCCCCATCCAGCCTGGCCTTGAGCACCTCCAGGGATGGGGCATCCACAGCTTCTCTGGGCAACCTGTTCCAGTGCCTCACCACCCTCACAGTGAAAAATTTCTTCCTAATATTTAATCTAAATCTACTTTCTTCCAGTTTGAAGCCATTCCCCCTCATCCTATCACTACATGCCCTAGTAAAAAGTCCTTCCCCAGCTCTCCTGTAGGCCCCCTTTAGGTACTGGAAGGTCATTATAAGGTTTCCTTCTCTTCTCCAGGCTGAACAACGCCAACTCTGTCAGCATGTCCTCACAGGAGAGGTTCTCCAGCCCTCTGATCATCTTTATGGCGCTGCTCTGGACCCACTCCAAGAGGTCCATGTCTTTGCTGCTATGAGGACTCCAGAGCTGGAGGCAGTACTCCAGGTGGGGGTCTCACCAGAGCAGAGTAGAGGGGAAGAATCACCTTCCTTGACCTGCTGGCCACACTTCTGTTAGTGTGGTAACCCTGTCCCTGACAGACCCTCCGAGCTCTGTGAGAAGATGTGTTGGTGTGCCGCCTCAGCAGTTCAGACACAGGCAGCCAGCCTCAGCTGTTTATGGAAAACACTCTGGGAACAAAATCTACTGTGTGTGTCTCCTTTTAACATGCTGGGCGTGAGGCATTACACCTTCCCTCCGAGCTCCTCTGCAGACAGCCCCAAGGGACATCAGGGTTTGCCCACACACCCAGACACTGCCGTGTGCCACTGGGGTGAGTCACCTGCCACTTTGCCACCAGGAAACTCATCTCTGCCCAGGAGGCCCAGGCTCAGCAGCAAATGCAGGGCAAGAAATGCCAGCCAAAATACTGATTCCATGCAGGGAGCACGTTCATGATTGAGTGATAGAGATCCTGATGACATGGGCTGGAAAGTTGGTCTTGTAGACAGAAGGATTTGCCTTTGCACAAAAGTGAGAGTAAATTTGTTGCAAAGCTTTGGGATACGGTCAGAGCCGTTTACTGACCCTGAAGGGGAAAAAGGGCTGTCGGGCCTGTGAGATGCTAAGTAGAAAATTTGGAGGAACTGCCACTTGAGAAGTGTTTCGTAGCTGGTTGTGGTTATTCATTTAATAACCTCTGTTCCCTAACAGATGCTGGACCTCTCCTGGGTAACATGAAAAGCATGAGAACGCTGAACAAGCAAAAGCTGGGCAAGCTATTGTTGAAAGAAGTTGCTGTCCCAAGTAACATGACAGGGCTGATGCACCAAGGGCATGTGTTTTAGTTTCCCCTAATTTTATTTTTCCCATAGCGGTCTTTAAAGAATCCCTCTGATTTGTAACACCTTGAGGCAGGAGATTTTTTTAGTTACATATAAGGAACTGTGATCATACAGTAAAAAACAAGATCACAGATAGGCTGTTGTCTTTCTTGGGGATTTTCCTTCTCTTCACTGCCTGCCTTGCCACCTCAAACAAAATCTCATTTTTTAATTACTACCAGTTGTAGCCCTGATGTAATAGTTTAGTGTAACTTTCTGTATCTACTGATACTACAACCATACTTAGTGACAACTTTTTAATAGGTGCCTCATTATGGTAATTATGATCACTTCAGGTATTTCAAAATAATTCTTCCTGCAGTGAGGCTCATCTTCCATATTATGTCACATTCAGTTCTCCCTTTTACAGCCATTCTGGCTAGATGCCCCAGCATGCCCTGTCCAAAGCTAAATTTCCTGACTATCTGCACTGTGTCAGTTTTGGAAGACTTGCTCGGCATCTTCAGGATGCCACGGCTGGAAGAGCAAAGAGCAGCTTCAGGCAGGGAGCCCTGCCTGCAGTCTGGATGATCCGCCCCCTTGTAGCTAAGAGCCTCTTTATACTCATTCGGTGGTGCTTACTTGCAGTCAAGAACTGAACAGGATTTTTTGCACTTTATAATACCTGCGTTTTGTTGCCTCGATGGCTACATCTATACAGGCCCTCAGGTGGGGGCTACCTTTTACTTTGAAATGGGGTGGCGACATTTTGGCACACACTATCCCCCAAAACATCCACAGAAATGTCGGAAGGTCAGAAGGTCATTTTGACCAGACTTCAAATGGGACCAATGCCCAATATCCAGGAACCATCTAGAAAAGTACTAGTTGGCACAGGCCAAACTTCTTTCAGGTAGCATACTAATAATTAAATATTGCATGCTGTAATGAATCAGTAGCTCCTCTGTTGTATTTACTCATATACAGATAGCTGATGATGGTTAAAAATGTCTTTAGTTCTATCACTTTTTTTTCTTCATTCCCCAAATCGGAGTGCTGCGATCCCAAGTCCTTCTCCGGCTCCCTGTACTTTCAGAGGCAGACTAGTACCCTCTCAGTGGTGTGAGAGAACCTTAAAGGCAGGGGCTTAGGAGATGTGTATGGAGGAC